CAGCAATTGTATTTGACAAGAGCCAAATGCCTGAGCAAGATATCTTCCACCTACATGGAGCAAGTTCTGGAATATGATATCACTATTAGTGGGAAGTAAAGACACACACTAATGAGGGGGTTATTAAGCAGTTCTGAAAGTGACTTGAATGTGAGCGGCATATGGCAAACTAATAAGGCTTGTTAATTTGTCTTCTACTTTTTTTAATTACTTATTGGGCTCCTTCAGCTGGATAGTGAGAAAGACTGTGCTAAGTGCAGAAATCAATAGCAAGCAATTAGGTTGTTAAGTTACCCGGGTTACACTAGGGAAAGATAAGTGAGAGTAACTCTGAGAGGAGCTTTCAAAGTTTTCTTAAAGTGGAACTTTAGTCATAAAATTAAGTCCTGCTAGATCACTCCAGGCTGGCCCCTTCTGCAGGTATAGCTATTTACAACAGCAAAAACAAGTGCCTATACTGTTTAAAATCCAGTAAAACACCATCTCACCCTGCTCTGCGCATACTCAGCTGCTCTTTATTTTTTTTTCTGGCACAGTGTTGAAAACCTAGAGGCCAATCCGATGACAGCCTAAAGATTTATTGCTGCTCAGGGGCTCTCAGAAAGAAAGAAAGAAAGAAAGAAAGAAAGAAAGAAAGAAAGAAAGAAAGAAAGAAAGAGAGAGAGAGAGAAAAAAAGAAAGAAAGAAAGAAAGAAAGAAAGAAAGAGAAAAAGAAAGAAAGAAAGAAAGAAAAAGAAAAGAAAGAAAGAAAGAAAGAAAGAAAGAAAGAAAAAAAAAAGAAAGAAAGAAAGAAAGAAAGAAAGAAAGAAAGAAAGAAAGAAAGAAAGAAAGAAAGAAAGAAAGAAAGAAAGAAAAAAGAAAGAAAGAAAGAAAAAAAAGAAAGAAAGAAAGAAAGAAAGAAAGAAAGAAAGAAAGAAAGAAAGAAAGAAAGAAGAAAGAAAGAAAGAAAGAAAGAAAGAAAGAAAGAAAGAAAGAAAGAAAGAGTTAGAAAGGGTTTGGGAGAAGTGCAGATAAAAAAAAAAAAAAAAGAAGAGGAAAGAAATATAAAGTAAGGAAGGAATGGAGTGAGATAAAGCTAGAGAAGAAAGCATGAATTTTTTATCAAGTTATTATAGATAAAGTTCCACTTTAGGTGACAGTGAGAAAAATGTAGTAATCTATAGCAACCCATCAAATCTACTGTAAGAGAAAGTGAAAAACAGAAAGAGAAAGAGAAGAGGAACATGAGGGGGAGAGAGAAAGAAGGAAAGAGAAAGAAAGAAAGAAAGAAAACAGAAAGAGTGAGTTAGAAGGGTATGGGAGAAGTGCAGATAAAAAAAGAGGGAAGACATAAAGTAAGGAAAGAACGGAGTGAGATAAAGCTAGAGAGGAAAGCATAAAACACAAACACATGCCATCTACTGGTCAGTATACAATATGCAGCATAGGCACCTTCAAGGGCATCACTGGACATGAAGTGTAAATGTGGCTCAGTATGCGGGATCGATGCCTGAATAGGAACGATTGCACTGGTCTTCCCTGTCATGTTTGTATGCAGTTCTGTAACTACTTTTGTCATTCTGGTTACAACCTTGGCCTGTCTCCTGGAGTTTGCAGTTCATGCCAGGGGCGGACTGACAACTCAGGGGGCCCCCAGGCAATAGGGGATTATGGGGCCCCTGTGTCCTTGCCCAAACTCAAAAAAGCCTATGAAAAAGGTACCAGGGACATCTCATGGGGCCCCTACTGACCCTGGGCCCTTGGGCAGTGCCCGAGTTTCCAAATGGTCAGTCCGCCCCTGGTTCATGCTGATTCCAGACTATCCCTCACTGTACTACTACTTGCCCTGACCAGAGCATTCTTTGCAGAAGCCCATGCCTGTTGATTCAGTACTTCACTTTTGTGAGCCACCTGCAAGTGAGAAATCACCAGAGGATTAAACCTTAAAGTGGATGTAAACCCTCCATATACCCAGTGAGGTGACTGGCCTCAGGTAATACAGAGATGAAACAAATCCTTCTACATATGTTGTACCTGTTTATCTGTAGCACTCTCTTTTCTACATCTACAATTTATACAGCTTGTCTGAGATTCAGAAGACAGAGGGAAGGGAGCTGAAATTACACACTGCAGAGCTAAGTGAGGAGAGCTGTGAAAGCTGATTGGAGGGAAGGGAAGCCCCTTCACACAGGAACAGAGCTGAGGCTGTCAATCACAGACTGTGTGCTGGAGCTCCCTCTACTTTTATTTTTGTATCTCTTGGTGTCAGGAAAACTTATCAGAAGTGTCTCGTGCAGATAGCGGAGGAGCAAAGCAGCAGAGAGAAATCACACTCACAGTGCTCAGAATTGAGAAATAGTACACACTATAGAGGGATATGCTTTGTGCATTTTTCATGTCTGACGTTTACAACCACTTAACACAACAACCTGTTAGTGTCAGGTAGCAATACCCAAACCTTCTTGCATGGGACCAAGTGAAGAAACAGAAGAGAAAGAAGTTCTTAAGAAGGAAAAACAGAAAACAAACAGGGGATACTGGCTAGAAATGTAAAATGTACTCAGGATGGCTGAGAACAATTGGAGGCTGAAGGCAGGAAAATCACGTCTTGGATCATGGATGAAGAGACAGCAGTGTGGCTGCAGTATCTCTGCGGAAGAAAAAACTGTATATCCAAACAGTAATATTTAGAATAGCTATACACAAAGTATGTATAACAATATCTTTAATAAGGAATCCACATTCTGGTCATAGGCTGGACTTAACATAAAGAACAACAGCCTTGAAAGAGGGAAGGCGAGAGATTGCTAGAAGAGAAATACAGCCGGACCTGAGGCTCCCTGTCCACCAGTAATAACTGCAGCTGTGGCATACTTAACCAACATGGAGCCATCCTCGGGACTCATTATGAAGATTAGTACATTGTGGAGGGACCTTCACATTCATTCTTGCATGGTAACAGAGAGTGTGTACGTCTCCCATAGGAATTCACATCAGCTGGGCATCAGTCCAGTCACATCAGCCATACAAAGCAGTGTGCAGGAGCTGACAGGGGAGAGATCTGTGTTGTTTGCATACAGGTCTCCACCCATCTGTGATGCACAGCGATCACCGGGTGCTGGAGGGGAATCACCAGCCAGGACCCGGTGATCAACAGTTGAGGCTGCCAATGGCGGCTCGTGTCCCCTACCGAGTTGCAGACCACTTGACTCAGTCTTTACGGAGTAGTAGAATAAAATAACACATGTGTGTGTTGCGCTGCTGGTGGAAAATGAGTGACAGGAATCTGAAGCAGCGAATTACCATCAACGTTTGTATGAACACTGGCAAGAGTGAGACGTTAGCTCTGTTACAACAGGCTTATGGTGAACATTCCATGAAGAGATCAAGTGTTTTCGAAGGGCATAGGTGATTTAAGGAAGGGTGGGGAGATGTCCATGATAACACAAGAATATTGTACAATGGTCAGCCAACATTGTTGTTTGGAAATTCTGAAAATGTTACTGGAATCTGTTCGGAGGAAAAGACCAGAACTTTTTCCAGACGAGTGAATTCTCCACCATGACAATGCTCCTGCACGCGATGCGTTAAGTGTTCACAAGTTCCTGGCTCATAAACCCATTCCTAAACTTGTCCAACCACCTTATTCCCCTGACTTAGCACCCTGCGACGTTTGGCAGTTTCCAAAATTTTAAAAATGCCTTCAAAAGGACACAGATTTGATGACACTTTGGACATCCAGAGCGCCGCGACAGATAATGCACAGTATTCATGTTCCAGAAAATGAATTCCAAGAATGTTTCTGGCAGTGGCACAGTCATCTAGAAAAGTGCATCGCTACACAAGGGGACAATTTTGAAGGTGACAACAGTTGCTAGTGTATAGGGAAGCAAACAATTATTTTACAGTCCATTCCGGAAATTAAATTGTCACTCCTTGTAATTCATACGATTAGAATTACCTGGAGGGTTGCTTTGACCTCCGTCAGCTTGAGAAAGCCCATGTACACAAGGCCATAGGGGTGCCATCCAAAGGGGTGCGATGAGCAGGGATGGCCGGACAGAGACAAAACTACAGCAAAAGTAAAATAGAAAGAAACCTGAAAACAATTAGAGGGAACTCTCCAGCAAATGTGAGTGCATTAAATAGTAAAGTTCATGCAGGGTAACACAAGACTGTCTCAGGTGCTTTCTTGGGCACAGGAAAATCACATTCAGATTTACAGAACCAGCGATCTTGTCCTTGTGCATCATGGAATGAAAATTCATAATTCATGTCAAATACAGCAATGCACCATTATCGTCGGCGATGTATCATACAGATACCTATAAAATGAATCCAGAGAGGTAAAATGGGCAATTTATATGTATCTGGAAGCTAAATCATTTCTTTCGCAGTAAGATCTCACACTCCAGCACCAGGCTCATTACATGTTTGATGCAAATAATTTAAACTGGGACAAAACGATTCGCCATCCCAACTGGTGATGCTCATAATGAATAAATTGAATCAGTTTATTACATTATTTGGATGTGCTGTCTGCAGTTTATTAGACCTTTAGGGCTGGGGGGGGGATGGAGCCATGATGCTATTTATTCCAGTTTGGGATACTTTATCCCTGAATGGTTTGTAGATAAAGCCTACAGCTGTGTGATTATAAATGACACTTTAAAAATGAAAGTTATCTCATGCAGTGCAGTAAATACCTCTTAGGGAAAGCAGCTACTAATCATGCTGCACAGTGAAAGGTTCAGCAAATATCATTCCAACTCGTTGCTGTGCATTAAGGTCATTGTGTTAAGGCATCCCACTCAGCCTTTTATCTAACGCAACGCACCTCAACACATGACACGTGCACCCTGTTGCACTGAAGTTTGGGTGTGTTAACTGTTACCATAGTAAAAGCATTAGGGTGTGATTTGCTGCCAGTCACAGGCATGTTTAAATGTAAATGAACCCTTAATTGCTCCAGACATACAGTATTCACTACACAGTAACCAAAAGACTATGAAAATACACCAAGAGATACACTATATTGCCAAAAGTATTGGGACATCTCTCCGAATCATTGGATTCAGGTCTTCCAATCCCCTCCATATCATTGGATTCAGGTCTTCCAATCCCCTCCCTATCATGATTCAGGTGTTCCAATCCCCTCCATGGACACAGGTGTATACAATCAAGCCCCTAGACATGCAGACGGCTTCTACAAACATTGGTGAAAGAATGGGTCGCTCTCAGGAGCTCAGTGACTCCAAGCGTGGTCCCGTGATAGGTGGCCACCTGGGCAATAAGTCCATCCGTGACATTTCCTGGCTACTAAATATTCCACGCTCAACTGTTAGTGGGATTATAACAAAGTGGAAGCAACTGGGAACAACAGCCACTCAGCCACCAAGTGGTAGGCCACGTCACATAACAGGGCGGGGTCAGCGCATGCTGAAGCGCACAGTGCGCAGAAGTTGCCAACTGTCTGCAGAGTCAATAGCTAAAGACCTCCAAATGTGGTGTGGCCCTCAGATGAGCACAACAACAGTGCGAAGAGAGCTTCATGGAATGGGTTTCCATGGCCGAGCAGCTGCATCCAAGCCTTCCATCACCAAGTGCAATGCAAAGCGTCGGATGCCGTGGTGTAAAGCACACCGCCACTGGACTTTAGAGCAATGGAGACGTGTTCTCTGAAGGGACCAATCACGCTTCTTTGTCTGGCAATCCGATGGACGTGTCTGGGTTTGGCAGTACTTGCCTGACTGCATTGTGCCAAGTGTAAAGTTTGGTGGAGGGGGGGCTATGGTGTGGGGTTGTTTTTTTTTTCAGGGATTGGGCTTGGCCACCTAGTTCCAGTGAAGTGAACTCTTAAGGCGACATTTTGGACAATTTCATGCTCCCAACTTTGTCTGAAGAGTTTGGGGATGGTCCCTTCCTGTTCCAACATGACTGCGCACCAGTGCACCAAGCAAGGTCCATAAAGACACGGAGGAGCAAGTTTGGGGTGGAGGAACTTGCCTGGCCTGCACAAAGTCCTGACCTCAACCCCATAGAACACCTTTGGGATGAACTAGAGCAGAGCCTGCGAGCCAGGCCTCCTCCCCCGACATCAGTGCCTGACCTGACAAATGTGCTTCTGGAAGAATGGTCCAACCTTCCCATAGACACCCTCCTAAACCTTGTGGACGGCCTTCCCAGAAGAGTTGAAGCTGTTATAACTGCAAAGGGCGGGGCCAACTCAATATTGAACCCTACGGACTAAGACTGGGGGGCCATTAAAGGTCACGTGTGTGGAAAGGCCAGCGGCCCAATACTTGGAGTAATATAGTGTATATTACTATACAATGGTGACATCCGGGCACGTTCTGTTCACTTGGTTTTACCCTCCTACTATCTGAAGGAGATGTAAAATGACGACACATTGCAGGGTCAGCTTCCAGCTGTACACAAATGACCAGCATTGGGTTTAATCCTTAATTTGCTGGGTGTTAATGGTAAAGCATGTAAAATGTGAAAGTCACATCAAAAAATGTAAGTGGAAATATGAGCAAAATAAAAAAATATGACCGTAGAACATAAGATATGGGTGTATTTTGGCACCCAGGAGCCACAAGGTGTTGCATACAGCCCGCTGTACAGATAGATCTCAGGATATGGCTGCATGCTGCTGTATATGGATATATGCTGGTCTTAGCACACAAATGCCCCTGGATGCAGATTGTAAGTTTATGTATGTTCACACTAGCACCAATGTATGTCCCCATACAGCAGGATCCTGTAATAGATTTGTACATGAGGCAGAATGCAAAACCTGTGGCTCCTAGGTGCTGAAATATGGCCGTATTTTACATCGTATGGTTGTATACACCCATGTACTGTATATGAGGCAGGCTGCATTACTACAGCAGTTTTTGTTTTTCTGAATTCACCCTGTAACAGTTTTCTTTCCATTTATACTGCTGGTAAACCTGCCTGGTAGTTTTTTCAATTTCCTTTAACAGACCAAGCTGTCCAGCGTAAGTGGCAGGTAGAGGGTTGAGACAAACCATTTAACATCGACAGGGGTGCTTAAAATGATCAGTTTTTATATATTCAGTTGACACTTTATTGCAAAAGGAACAAAAGGAAAGACAGTGGGTGGGTGGGTGGGTGAGTGAGTGAGTATCCTAAATGTGCAGGATCTGCAACCAGGTAAGTAGGGGTCAAAAAAAGAAGGGGGGGGGGAGATCATCTATAAAAAGTGTTAGCTGGTGTTTAGTTTTAATACGTTAGTCACTTGCAGTATGTAAAGTCCATCTAAATCTACTAGTCCGTGTAATGTTACCCTCTCCTCAGGTTCATAATGCTGCTGTCCAAGGGTGGCTAGCTGCTCCTCCATAGATACAGTGGAGGACTGACTGCAGCACCTTAGAACAGGAGGTGTTATTGGCAGGATCACCAGATAAAAATAAAAGAGAAAAAGAAAACTAATGCACATCTGAGGAGGACTGGGAAGCTGCAATATATTACATTTTTGTTTTAGGATTAGATACACTTTAAATCCTCACTTGCTGGATGCTGAAGTTGCAGAGAATATGAGCAGCAACAAGCAGGCAAGCTCCGGTATGCTGGGTCTTGTCAATCATTTGCCAAACTGAAAATGACAAAATGTTTCAAAGATGCCCAACAGGAACAGTCAGCCTATGGCCCCATTGACACGAAACGTCCCATCAGGTCAACCTGTCAGTTTTTTTAGGCAGACCTGATCACTCTCCTCCATTCAGGGCTGTGGATACGAGGGTACCACCTGTCCAGGGGGTCCCAGGCAGCTGGGTGAATCGGATGTGGGCAGGGAGAGTGATCAGCATGGCAGAGGGGGCAATTACTGGAACCCATCCCCTGTATGGTTTCCTCTGCAGCAGCTGAAAGCTCCTCTCCCTCCCGATGGCTTTCAGCTGCTGCAGAGGGAACCGTACAGGGAATGAGTTTCAGTAATTCCCCCCCCTCACTTTCCCTGTGCACCATGTTTCCCCCTGCTGCCTAGGCCCCCCTGTGTGCCCCCACAGTGCTGCCGGTTTTCCTCCTCTCCTTCCCACTGGCAGCAGCAAGCACACAATAGAATCCTTCGGGATAGAGAGTGGGGGAAGAGTCCGGTAAATATGTTACATTTACCAGCCCCTCGCTTTCCAGACTGAACACAATGAGTGATTTGTACTGATCACTCACTGTGTTCATCCATAGCTGAAGCATAGTAAACTGTTTTTTGTTTTTTTTTGGGGGGGGGGGGGGGCTGTCAGCGGCCCCATGGTTTGTAACAGCAGCCTCTATTCACCTCCTATGGACCAGTGGATGTAAACAGAATTATGTCCATTTACACTCAGCTCCAATCCGATCCAGTGCGCTAAAAGGAAACGTAAGGGGATCTATCCACGTCCGTCTATGCGGTTCGGACTGGAGGGCAGTCCACAAAGCAGAGTGGGCACTGTGCGTGTCCAATCTACATAAACTGAGCGGTCATCATCCTGCTGTGCTCTGATCATCGGACAGATCCCCTGCTGATGTAATCTGATTCTGCCCCGTGTGGAAGGGGCCTAAATCTGTATTCTATAATATAAATACAGAAACACTACTGAGACCTAAATATCATGTTGAAAAATGAGAAAGCCATCAACTGGCAGCAACAGAGGCTCACTGGGGTGAAAATGTTGGTGAATGTAGTTGGTGAATGTAGTCAGTGAATGTGTTTTCTTTAAACCAGCAAAGCTTCCAAATGGCTCTTCACAGAGGTGATGATCTTCTGAGTGATTGGCTTATTGATGTAAACTTGATGCCTCCTAATCATGCTCCATGGTAGGCCCATGTGCCCCTCATCAAGCTCTATGGCTGCTGGATATAGTGGATTGTTAGGGATGGTATGCTAGGAGGTACAATTTCAATGTGAATACTGATTTCTGCAAATGTGGGCCTGGGGAGGTGTTTTGCGTGTTCATTTGTTGCATTCCATATTTATTTCAGTAAAGCAAAGACAGGGAATGTATCCCATGCATGGATTGTCATTTCAAAGTTTTCCTCCTGGAATACAACGTGCATATTGGCAACAGGGGTGCTATGGCAGCTGCTGCAGAACCTCTTAGGCCTCTTTCACACGGGCGGTTAGATTTCAGCATTTAGCTTTAGTTAGAGGAAATAATTTACCGCAGCTAAATACAGACAATGCATCCCTATGGCTCCGCTCACACACTGCGTTTAGCAACGTGTACACAACATACGGTTTTATGCGTTTAGGAAAAATGAAGTTGACCGCGTCCAGGAGCGATGTACCGCAGCTATCTCTACATAAAAGCAGTTATTGGCAGTACAAAGAACAAATAAGTAAATAGTTGCTATAGGAAAGGCAAGAATCTACTATCGCAGCTAAACGCAGGCGCATGTAAACGCACGTAATTGCAGATAAACGCAATGTACAAACGCAAGAGATCTCAGAACAAGCGCCCGTGTGAAAGTGGCCTTAGGAAGCTGCTGAATGCTGTGAAAGGAGTATACATTCCAAAGCTACACTTTAAAGGTTGAGTTTGGGACACTTCAGCCCTGAAGAGCAATGTTCATGTGTCTTTAATGAAATGGAACTCGTGCATGGAAAGCTGTACCATGACAACAGCAGTGACAGCTGCTGCAGCACCTCTTGGAAGTCCCAGCTGTCAGTCAGGATGGTTGGGAGGCAGAAGTGTGCTTGTCACACAGAAAAATACACAGGGAACTAATGATCAGCCCGGTGGTGTCACCTCACAGCCAGGCTCAGCCCCTCTCCAGTGATGGAGCCTCCTCCTCTCCATCCAGCACACTCAGCTGCCTGCCTGTGTGCTCTGCTAGCAGCGCTCCTCTTCCCTGGGTACCCGGGCACTGGCTGCCCTGTCTGGAACACAGGGCACACCCCATGGACAATGCAGGGGACCACCCCAGGAAATAGGACTGCACCCTGACAGCTCACCCTCCAGGGCAGGTGAGTCCTTTCCATGACTTCTCACATGCACTTCACTGGTAGGAACTTTACTTGGGGCACAGCAGACGTCCACTGTACAGCCTGTCCTGCGGTTTCATCCATGGGTGCTGTGTGTGTGGATGGATGAGACCTGTCTGCACCCACATTGCATGCAGTCTGTATGGGGGGTAGGTGTGAATTTTAGGCGATTGTATGTATTTGTGTGACTGATCACTGACAGCTGACTGAAAACATGTGAAGACAGAGGAGGAAATGTTCTTAGAAAAGGAAAGATTTGCAGACACTTACCTTTTCCTGGCAGAGAGAGAAGTGTGCATGGTCCGCAAAATGCAACATGTGTTCTCTGATTGTCAGAGCTGATTCATTCCCCATCACACAGCTGAGCTCACAGGGGGTCCTACTGAAGGCACCCTCCCTGCATGTATGTGATGGATCAGACACATGGCAGCAGGATACACTGTATACAGAAAGAAGATCACTTCACAATGTATCAGAAACTTTCATCCGAGACAGACATTGGGCTTCCATCTCCTACTGCCTTTCCCTGATGACATTCACACGTGCTGGAAGGTTTGCTCTCTTCTCATGCAGGGAAATCTCTGCTTGCCACAAACTTATCCTGCTGCCTGGAAAGCTCTGCGGTCACCAGCACATGGAGGCTCACCAGCACATGGGGGCTCACCAGCATATT